GTCCCCGGCCGCGTGGTGCCCGCTGTTGCCTCAGGTCCGTACCCCGGGCTCGCCCCGGCCCACCCTGCCAGCGACTGGGCAGCCCGTGCCCCGAGTGAGCAGAATGCGATTTTATTTGGTTGACACGCTCTGGATAACGACTTCTGCTGGCCCCTCAGACTCTGGAGGCCGAGGGGCGAGGCCTGAAGGGTTGGTTTTTACTTAACGACGGCGGTACTTTTTGTAAACCACTGCTGGGCCCTCCCATTGCGGAAGGCGCTCTCCCCGGGCGCGGTCCTGGTGGGCTTCTGTTCCTGCAGCGACGGCAGGGTTAGTGGCTCCCAGTTCATCTCCCCAGTCGGCTTGTCACTGTCTGACTTCTTGGAGACTGCAGCAAAACACAGGGTACCTGGTGAATATGGGCTTTCAGAGGGTCCAGAAGGACGCTTATCGTGAGGCATGAAACTGACCCAGCTGGAGGGACCTGAAAAGTGGTCTTTACTCCTAGCTCGGGGTAGATTTTGGACCACGAGCTACCATTCCCAACCTTCTTTATAGTTCTGGATTCCTTACCTTCCTCAACACCCAGTTGAAAACACTGCCGGGCTAGTCTTCCCTGTTTCACCAAACGATCCCACCCACTACCATGTTGGCACTCACGTAGCTCTGCCTAAGATAAGGTGCATTCACTTGTAGATTCTCACACCTCTTAGCCTTTTCCTAAAGTGTGCTGGTTTTCAGTCTCAAATGTCTATTGAGTGCTTGGAAATTATTCAATGGGTCCCAGCTGCCTAGTGGAGAAAACCGAAGCCCTCAGTTGTCATGAGCTAGCCCATGTATCTCCTACATTGAACCTGCTGTTATTAGTGCTTGATACGTGTTCAACACTTCCTAGGTACCCCATAAAGGTTCTTAAATGAATCATAATTTGTAAGGAGCATTCTCGTTATACCCTCTTCCATTCCACACAACCTTATCTCAAATCCCTTCCGCCCCACGCCCTGCCTCATTCCAGAAGAGACTCCTGCACCTCTGAGACTCACAGACTTATCCTTTGGCTCTTCTAGAACAGTTTTCTTCAAGTGTGAATATGCATACCACTGGGTAGTTTTAGGTGATACATAAACATTTTAGATTTTAATTATTATGAATTTGATTAAGTGTATGTCAGGGGGAAAAAACATGTAATTAGTATATCAAACCCATGTTAATGATATAGTATTAATTAGGACAAGAACAAAAACATTAAATAAACAATAGGGCATATAACACACTGATACACAAAAACTTTGAAAGTGGTAGGTGATACAGTTCAGGAAACACTGCAACGACTTCTTGAAATTTGAGGATTTAAACAGAATCCAAAGCCTAGCACTATTTGAGCCTATATCACTTCTTAGCCATAAGGAAAAATAGTCTCCATAACCTCCGTGAGATACATCAATTTGCCCTTAAATCTCATCCCCATAGGTTGTCCCTCCTGCCCACATCCCAATCCCATAGGCCACTGCTTTGAAAGAGAAAAGCTTACTTTCTTTCGTCATATCTCTTTTATAGACTTGAGCAAAGGTGAGCTGAGGGTACATATTTTTCTGTTTCCTCAAAGTGCAGACCATTGAATACGTCCCTTCACTCTTGAAATCATTGTTGGTGGAAAACCTTAACAGAGAAAGCTCATTTAGTAAATCCTGGGGTCGGGGGTTAGTGGAACCAGTCACTACACTCAGATTCCAGGGGAGGAGAAAGGACAATGATAACAGGTATTTGTTGGTACAGAGTGGGAGTGCTGTTCAGCCACAGGGATGCTTCTAGAACTAGCCTTGTAAACCTGCAAAGGAAATTCAAAATCTCCTCTCTCCAAACTGGATAGAGGTTGCTCCTAGAACTAGTTTCAAATAAAATCTCATAGCACATTGTTCCTGTGCTATAACCCTTATCAAGCACTAAGGGGGAAAATTTTTTTCTGTTTCTTCAAATCATAGACCTTTGAATGTTTTACTAAAAATCCTTCTTAGTGAAAAACCTTAGCTTTGCATTACTGTTTCTCTTTCATTAGGGTGTAAATGATATTGGGGATCATGTAGGGAAGCTGTCTTATTAATATACACTTGTACCTGTACCCTACAACAAAAAGTATTAAATCATGTTAAAAGAGATGGTAACATGAATAAGGAAATGACAGGAAAGAAAATGAGAACAAGAGCAGCCAGGACTTCACCTAAACCATTGTTTTTGCTTGGATGTAGGGTCCTTCAACAGTGTCACAGGGAAGACTGGTTTCAGCTCAGGTCTTAACCTTTTTTTCTGAGACAACAGGGATAGGCCGAAGTTCTCAGTGGGTTTGAGGTGATAACTTTCCTGCAGCAGAGGGAAGAAGAGTAAGTAAGGGAGTCAACTGAAAACCTTGGGACTTAAAAGCCGAACTAAGTTCTTGGACTAAGTTCCAACCTCCCAGCATGTTGTGACCAAACCTGCCAGAAGGAAGCGGGAACTCAGAAACCAAAAGAAGAGGAAACAGGTCTGAGTGGGCTAATTAATACCTGTGTTTCCTTGCCAGGTGACTTGTCCAAAGCTTTGCTAGTTTCCTAAGTAAATGAATTTGCCCACTGACCCTTTGAAGAGAGTGGCGGGAGAATTTACCTGGTTTTGAGAAGGATTCTACTAGTGAATTGCTTAGTAAATCAAACATTTGATAATAAATTGGGGAAAAATCTATAGGACTCTACCTTCCTTTCTCAGAGATGGCTACTCCATTCACATTCCATTCTCTGTCTGCAGTGAAGAGGCCACAGAATGAGATGTTTTGTGAGCTAATAATATCATTACTAAAGGTCACAGAGACTTGCAGAAAGGATTGTGCAGGTCATCTAGTCTAACTGTTCATCTGACACTCACTTCACCTATGCACTGTCACTAACAAGTGGTCAGTCTTCCTATACCTAAAAACCCAACCTATTTCATCTTTGATCAGCTGATAGCTGTCTCCCTGTAACTTCTAACTTATAATCCAAACAGAACAAATCCAGCGTATCTTCCACAGAGTCCTTAAAGAATTTGGAGAAATCCATCAGGTTCCTCCTAAGCTATCTCCCTCTCTCTGCCAGGCTCAACATTGCCAATATTTTGAAATTTTCTTCATATGACATGGCTTTGGGTTCCCAGTCTCCTGATTTGTCTCATTATAACGCATTTCAGAAACAATTTATTTTATCCCCAGTGTGCAGCAATCTGAAGTGAGAACAATATGCAAGACATGGCAACTGCAGGACATGTCCCAACACCCCAATAAATTCTCTATTCAGATGTCAGCACCTCTTCTGAAAGCCTGCTATCCAAATTACTATCTAAACTATACCATCTAAAATCACCACTCACACCCATCATGTTCCATTCCTTTATCCAGCTTTGTCTTGGCATTTATCAGATTTTTACATTAATTGTGTGATTGCTTATGGTCTGTGTACCTCACTAGAATTAAACTTCATTTGGGCAGACTTTGGTTTAGTCACTGATATATCCCTACCACCCATAATAGTGCTTGGCACATAGTAGGTACTCAACAAATATTTGTTGAATGAATGAAAGAATAAATAAATGACCAAACTACTTAATTGACATATATTGAGCTTTTTCTTTCAGAATTTTAAAGCCTCTTTTTTAGAAAAAAGTACTTGCTGTTGAACATGTCCTTTTAATTCTGTACTCATTCCCTAAGCACCTCCAGTTTTGAGGAACAGGCACCCATCCATCCAAGTTACCTCACCTAATAGGAGTTTTACTGTAAGAGCACATGCCTAAGAAGGAAGACATAGCTAACAATCTGGCCACAGAAAGAGCAGAACCTGAACAGAGCTAGATCTCATTGCAGAAAAACAGGAATGGAAAAGCTATTTGGAATCCAAGACGGCACTAGCTAAGAACTACCACTGCACAAGTTTGTGTATCTTGACTCCAAATCATATCATTAATGTCTCTCCTACTTCTTCCACCTGCTTCCTTCTCTCTCTGTTCACTCCTTACCTTACCCTGTATACCTTTTTTCTATCTATAGCTTCTGCTTATTCATTTATATTTATTTCCCTATGACTTCAACCTACCCTGACCCTATTATGGTCCCTACACTACCTACTGTATGGCCTTTCTCTGTGTGTCCTTTCAGCTTTCATTCCCACTGCTCAGAGATTTGGGTTATGGGTAAGTTGGTTGGTTTTGTTTTGAGTTGGTTTTGGTTTTGGTTTAGTGGTGACCACCACAGGTAACTAACCAGCCTATGAATTTTACTTCACTGGGTCTGATGTGCTTCTCTGGTCCCAGCTAGGAGTAGAGAGCCGAGTCTCGTTATACAAAATAGGACCTCTTAGGGCATCCTTTCCTTCATGAACTGTGGTAGTGTCCATTTCACTTAGAAGGGGCTGTGAGTATAACCATTACGGTGATAGACATGTCTAGTCCATTCTAAAGTTGCCAGCTGGGACCCACAATCTTTTTTTACACATGCCTGGGCAAAAGAATGTTTCTTTAGTACATAATCTTAGGCTCACAGAAGATTGTCACATTTTTCTGGCAAGAGAAGGAGGGGATGCAGCATAAATATTAAAGCAGCATTCTAGATATTGGGCAGTTCCATCTTCTTGGACTTGTTCCAAATAGCCCCAAAAAATTACCGTGGTGCCAGTCTTTGACAATCAGAGCCTTAACTCTGTTACTACAATCTGGCTAGTACCACAATTTGCTCATGAGTATGATCAGGTCCTGCATGTGACCTGGAAGACCCTCAGGTGCCAGCTGTTGGAAGAAAGCTCTTCTTGCACCAAGGTTACATGATAGTCTAGTATTTCCTTCTCTACTTTGAGCAGGGCAGTCCTGGCCTGGGATTTGTCCCTCTCTCACTGCACATTACCATACCACTACCATGAGAAGCAACCACTGAGTTTACATTCAAAGGCATAAATTCTGAGACCAAAGAGACCATAGGCAGGAAATTAGTTAATTAACTCCTTTGTCAGCATATACCTTTGGATACTAACTGTTTTATCTTCCATTTGAAGGAATCTCTCACTGCCATTCATGTTGCAACTAAGGACATACTAATTCCAAATCCACCACACTCTGTTATAAGGATCTGTCTTGGGTAATTCCACTCCCAGCTTCAAATTTGTTATAATTATATTCTTTTGCTTGTACTTTCATTCATTTCATTTAATTTCTTCTTGTTATATTAAGGCCCTCCCTCAAGACTATCAGGATCTTTTAAATTTTTTAATTTATTGCTTTTAGAAAGAGAGAGGAGGGGGGAGAAAGGCATCAATTTGTCGTTCCATTTATTTATGCATTCTTGGGTTGCTTCTTGTACGTGCCCTGACCGGAGATCGAACCCAAAACCTTGGCATATAGCCAGGGCCATCAAGATCTTTTTTAGATCCTGTTTCCTAAATACCTCTTAAATTGATTTTCTTCACTTCCTTTGCTGTTGATTTATTGCAATTCCTCAGCGTCTCATACCTTGATGATTGTAGTAACATCATAACTAATCTTTCTGATTTTTGCCTTTTTCACAAATAATGCACCTTTCTCCCAAACTCCAAAAAAAGGTCTTTCTAAATTAATGCAAATTTGATTATATCCATTTACTCTCTTACAACTCCCTAAATGCACCTCACTTTCTCATGTCTCTGTGGCTTGGCCCTTCCCTCTGATTGGAATATTTTCCTGTTCTTTTGTCAGGGGTCATCTCTTCTGCAAAACCTCTCTGATTATTCTCTTTCTCCCAACAGAAATACTGTTCTTTACTGTATATGAGTTCTGTGTCTTGTATATTCTTTTATAATTCATATATCTTATTATATCACAACTGCAGATATATTTATTGATCTGTCTCTCCTGTACACTCCAAGTTCCTTCAGACTTTCTGGTAATCATCTTTATATTTTAGTTCTTAGATTAGTGTATGTTTAGTGATTGGTTATCAGGTTGGATTTGAACTTCTTTAGTATACAACAGCGTCCCAAATGTCTGGATACTGCGATAATAGAGTCCCTGCCCTGTTCCCCTTCCCTTCTCCTGACACCCAAAAGCAATGGGTATAAAGTATAACCTTGACTCCTTTCCCATTTAGGTGTTCATTTCTGTCCCTTATCCTTTACTTCTCAGTTTACCCTTTACTACTATCCGCTCAACTAGAAAGCCAGTGGCTAGCTTACCTTTTGTTAACTGCAAACTAAATATCTCTGGCCAAGGAGAAACAATTTCAAGGTAAGACTCTCTTTTCTCTGCGCAATGAAGTTTCACAACCCAAGCTTGTCTAACTCTTTTCCTGAGTATTTCCCAGGCTCTACACATTCTGTTTGGTGACACAAATGGCAAAGAATTAGAGGGAAGAGGTTGGCTCCTGAGAACCATGGTAAGTTAGCTTCCTTCTTCAAGCTAACTCCTAATTCTTCAGGGTCCTTACTTAGGGCGCCAGGAAACTTCCCCAGGTGCCATTACCTTGAGCAGTAACTCCTTGGAAAAGTATTTTGGTGTGTTGTCCTTTCCTTGTTGCTCCATTGGACAGGGAAGTGGATTGTTGGTCATTATAAGTGAGGTCTTATCCTCATCATATTCTGTGACCTTGAGCATGAAGCTTAACATCTTCCTGTTTCGAGCCACGCGTTTCTGCAGTGCGGTGGGCTTCAAAGGCTCATAGTACTGGCTCTGAGCAGACAGACAGAGGGCAAAAGATTTGCAGAGGGACAAAGGGATTAGATCAAGAGAAGGTTAACAGATCCGTTGGTTAATCTGCCTCCGTGGGGTAGGGACAGAGGCTGGACAAATCTGCTCTGAAGTGTGTTTATCAGAAAAAGTCTGAAGCTCGCTGGCCCTTCCTTTGCTCAGAGCATTCCTCACAAATAGACTGAGAGGCTGGGGAAATGACACAGGAAGGCTTCCACAATAAAGGGAGAAAGCCCACTTAATTCTTCTGAAAGAGCGTAACAGAATTTGTTCAACACAGTGGGGCAAACAGAGAGGTTTCTATGTTACACCTCCATACAAGCCTCGGAGACAGAGACTAGAAACTGCCAGGGACCGAATCTCTGCTCAGGGAGTTTGGAGGGTGGGGGGTGACCCCAACATTCTCACCCACCAGCGTTTTCCCACAGGCACAACCACACTACCATGCATAATAAGCACCATGTTTAAAAAGGTGAAGCAGTCCCCAAAGACAGCATGTTACTTAAGATGCGGGTGGGGGATGGGGCAGTCCCACTAATTTTGCTTTTCTGTCAATAGAAGGAAAGCAGAGGATTGGAGAGGAAGGAAGAGGGAGAGAATGAAATACCTTCTGATTAGTAATATGTTTTCTCAATGTAAAAGGACTATTTTAGCTACAGGGACCACCCTCTTCCCAGTCCCTCCCTCCTCCCTCACCCAGGCCATTCCTAGCACTGCCCCTGGCTCACTGTCCTAGGGCAGCTCTGCCCCCCTGTCCTAGGAGGTGCACAGCCACAGAAGTGGCAGCACTTGGAGGCATTTGGGATACTTGGCAGCGCCTCTGCCCCACTGCTGCAACTTGCTTTTAGGGATCTCAGGGGAAAGCTTGTTCCACCTACCAATTTTGGATGGACCGTGTAATGCAGAAGGTTATTGGGAACAGATTTTGATGGTGCGACTGCATAAAAAATCTAGAAACAATAAGCAAAATTAGTGGGTTCAAGCTGCACCGATCCTAAACAGTATTCCATTGCTTACTCTCACTAAATGTGGTCCCTACTTCAAGTTAAGTAAAGGGGACCCTGTGCTGCGTGTTTTGCACCCTGGGTTTCTGGAATGAGAGCCCCAGCAAGGACAGCCTCACGGGCCAGCTTGTCCATGGAAATGCGGACCAGTTTATGAAATGTCAGGTCAAGCTGTTAGGAGGTGAGGTAGACGAGGGCAGCATCAGAGTTCAGGCAGGGACAAGTCACTCCAAGGATCACACCTCCTCCTCCTGCCTTTTCATTACTGTAGGAGTAAAATCAGGGGCAACTCAACACGGAGGGCAACCTTTAAGGAGACAAGCAAGTTACAAAAGGGCGATAATTTAAGGGTGTGCGTGAAGGGAGCCCGGAGGGACAGGCTCACAGACCAAGGGAGAAACAACATTTTGTATTTTTTAATATTTCTGTGGTATCTGATTCTTCCTAAAATGTTACAAAAATAATTGAATTTTGCTAACACTCTATCTACACTTTGCATTTTTCTGCTGGTGGTAGTGCTGGGGATTGGCAGATTGAGGGTCGTGCCTGGTGGTAGAGGTGCTGGGTCACCTGCACCTCCCTCTTCCGACCCCGGCTTTTGGCCCTGCCTAGAGCTTAGCCCTCGGTTATCTAAGGACAAGTAATTCAAAGGGGTGAGAGCCCAAAGTGAAAGACGCTGAGTTACCCCCTTTGGGCTTAGCAAACCCAGAAAGCAGAACAAGAGGAAGGGAACATACTGCTGAGCTTAGATCAGCCTTTCTAAAGATTGCCATGTCCCCAAGGAGGTGAGGTAAGGTGGGGTACAGAAGAAAGGGAACATGTACTTGCAGGGTGCGGAAGGCAAGCAGGTGAATGGAGAAGAGGGAAGTAGTAAGAACGGGCCAGGCATGCGGGATGAGCTCAGCCCGCTATCAGGCTTCAGAAAGGAAATGTCAGGAGCTGGCGAGCCCCGGGGGTTGGGGGAGGAATGGGAGGAGGTCCAGCAGTCACTCCATACATTCCTTCGGGAGGGTGGGATGAAATATGGGACAAATCCAAAGACGCAATAATTTAAATTTTTTTCCCTTTTGGAAAACTGAAGTCCCTTTGTTCAAAACAAAAACATTGTGAAAAACCTGCTTCACAGATATGACATAAAATATGTATTTAGAATCATATAGAAGTCTAGGAAAAAAATTATTTGGGGAAAAGATGTAAAGACTTTTCTTTTACCGTTTTTTTGGTTTTGTTTTGCTTTGTTTTTAATGAATTCTAGTGGGGAAAGTCTCTGGGCAAGATGTTTTAGCCCTGGCCGGGTAGCTCAGTTGGTTAGAGCGGTGTTCCAGTATGCCAAGGTTGTGGTTCAATCCCCAGTCACACGAGAATCAACCAATGAATGCGTAAATAAATGGAACAACAAATCGAAGTTTCTCTTTCTCTCCCTTCCTCTCTCTCTCTCTCTCTCTCAAATCAATAAATTTTTTTTAAAAAAATGTTTTTACTCTTGAATTTTTCTGAGGTAGTGCATTTCTGTTCCAAATTAGTCTCCAGCAGTTGATGAAACCCACAAGAGTGTCCAAATTGGAATATGTTTTAGTTTTGTTACATTAAACAGCAGTTTCTCTGGCTGATGAAATAAAAGATGGCCTGGAAAATTCACTTAAATGTGATAAACCTGGGGCGGCAACCAAGCTTTTGCTCCAAGAGGCGGCCACGAATTCTAGATGAGTCAGGGTTTAACACTCACGGCCTACGAGAGGCTTCCGGTCCCTGGGTTTTGCATGCCAATTTATTGTTGTTGTGTTCTTGTCTCTTCTGTTTTCTATGTCTCTGTTTCCCTCTCATAAAATTGGATCGATTAACCTTGCTTTCTATATGAACCTTGACCCTTTTATGCTTTTCAACAAAAAGTGTGTAAGACACAGCTTAAAAAATACTAAGTGTACAAAGAAATATTACAAATGAACATTTGCTAATTCTCTCCCTTACCTCATCACTATCCATAAATCCTTTCTCAAAAGTTCCTGAAGTCTTTAATTTGCCATATGAGGACCTGAAAAAGAGGCAGGACATCTAGTTGGCTCTGAGACCTGGTCTTCTGCATGTTCTCAGTCTCCTTAACAAAGTTTAGAAGCCTGATTTAGAAGAGCCCAATTTAGGTGGTCACTATGGGTAGCAAAGAAGAGGATTCATTATCCAGCCTATGTGCTGGGGTTGTGGGGGAGGTTGGGGGGGACAGAACCTCAGGTTGAACAGTTAAGCAAGTGGGACCCCTTGGAGACATCTGATGAGCTGATTTCTTCTAAAATAGGGGTTTCAGCCCTGGCCAGGGTGGCTCAGTTGGTTGAGTGTCATCTTGTGCACCAAAAGGTCACCGGTTTGATACTCAGGGCACATGCCCAGGTTGCTGGTTTGGAACCTGGTCAGGGTGCCTGACAGGAGGCAACTGATTGATGTTTCTCTCTCACTTCCTCTCTCTCTAAAAATAAAATAAAATAGGGGTTTCAGACCACTAAAGGAAGCACTCTAGTAGACTGCTTAAGGAATTCTTTTAGGTTGGACCCTCATAATATCCTTGAAGACGACCAACTGTTACAAATGCCTACCTGCCTCTCCACATGGAAATGGTTCTGCCTGCACCAATGATTAGTCAATGATTCCTTAAGAAGGAATAGAGTTAGTAGAACTTCACAAATTTTCCATTTTTAATGACCAGGCTTGGATCACTGGCTCCCCTATGTTCCTAACCAAATCTAAGTTTCTCTTCCTAGAAGTAGGGTAACAAAAATAATAATCAATGGCAAATATTCTCATACTCTGCTCCTTCACTTACTTTCCCATTTCCCACCCAGATGCCAGCTCCCTTTGTGGGAAAGTGGGCAAGGGACAGAAGTTGCAATCTTTAGTAATAAAGTATTTTGGATTCCTTGACTAATTCTTACTAAACCCATTTACTTTCTGAACATAAAGATGCTCAGCTGTAAGATTGGGTTAATGACTAAAATAAGTGGCCTGCTTACTCCTTGGAGATAGTACCTTTTGGGGGGGATTAAACTAGTTCAAATTAAGTAGGGTCCTACAACTACCTCAACTAGACAGCTCTCCTTTAAAAATGAGGGTAGCTGAGTCAGAACTAAAATAAGAAAAGTAGAAATAACCAAGCTATGTAGTTGGTGGGTCAATTGGCTATAGCGTGATACAAATCCAGGATCAGGTCCCATTCAAGGATGGCTTGCTTCTACCTCAAGCCAGAGGTCTTTAAAATAATCTCAAGAAGAGCAGGTGATATATTGTGGAAGACCAAAAAAAAATTCATCTTAACATCTTAAAGTTTGTGCCCTTTTGATGGGTCCTATTACCTTAAGTTATCTAATAATTATATAATTTTTATTGTACCACTTTCAAAATAAATCTTTGGTATCTAAAAGGTGGCATCAGGTTCCAGGTACTTTTCTTCAAGGCCAATTTAAGGCATACAGCTGCATGAAAATGCTTCCTTGGCCCAGCAGTGTCCGTCTCAAACAGTCTGGTGCTTTTCTTTTGGCAAAACTACTCTAGTTGCTGCATGAAACAGACCAAGATCTGGTTTTTTATCTGAGGACAGTCAATTGAAACTCTTTTATGAGGGTTTACTCTGTGTCTAGTACTGTTCAAAGTGCTATGGGCTACAAAATAAGTTCACATAAGTTCAAAATAAGTTATAACATAGTTAAGCAAACGAGACTACATACTTGGTAGATCTTCTTTGGCCCATTGCTGTTCACTGCTAAGTGGACCAACCTGAAGCAATTATTCACCCAGAGGCCAAATTCAGTGCCTCTGAACAGTCCACGTTCTGTAGGGTTTCAGTTCAACCCAAACATTGTTTCCTTAGCACACTGTGTGTGCAGCTCCGTTCTTGATCCTCTGTGGGAAACAAGAGCAGACTGATACGTACTGTTGTGAATGCAGAAAATGCACAGGACGTAATGATCCTTGCCCTCAACAACTTAAGTTTAGTTGATAAATGTGGGCAGGAAGGAGGAAGTGATTGTTAAATCTGAAACAAGAATGACACATCTCTTGGGGCCTCAACTTCCTCATCTGTAAAAATGGAGAGAGTTAACCAAATGATTTCAAGGTAACATTCTAATTCCATGATGTTGGTGAGATTTACCTACATAAAGACCTGAAATAAAATTAATTCATGTGTCAGTAATGGGAGAGAGTTGGAAGAGCAGACATCCCCTTTCAATACAACCATGTTTGTCCAGGGAGTTGCTACATTTTGATAATTAGAAATGGAAGAAAAGAGTTGAGGATTTAGAATCCACCATTTAGAGAAAAGAGAGGTTAGTGATACTTGGGGGAGATTGAGCTGGGCCTTGCAGGATGGTTTGAGAAGAAGCGTACATGGAAGATTATTTGTTTTTGCTGTTGTTTTAAGTAGCTACTACTAAGACTTACTAGTAGATAGGTGGGATGGGATCAAATCTAGGGGGCTTTGACAATTAAGTAGAACTTTGATAAGGCCTATCAGCTCAAGCTCCTATAAAGTCCATGGTTTGCCAGAAAAATCTATATTAGTGTTGATAGTATCAATAGGTGCTTGTTTAGGGTTATATCTACTTTGACAGTCTATTTATAAACCCTAAAGACGATTGTCTAAAGTTTATGATTAAACCGAGTTAAACCCTGAAAGTTCCCTTTGAGGGAAATAGCCTAATGAGTTTCTCGCCCTTTTCTCACGTTTAGTTTTTCCAGCTCACGTATACATTGAAACTGAAATAAATAGGAGCCATCAAATTGGAAGGTACAAATCTTGCGCCACTTGTCTGCAACCCAGGGTAGAAAAAAAATCACACAAACACAAAAACTACACACAAAAAATAAGAATGGAAAGATCTGGAGTACAATACCTTAAATGGCACCAGGAAATCTTACTTCAGGGAGGAAGGGGAAATGCCTTGATGTGGAAACTTCCCATTTGGAAAATATCTGAATTATTCTTCTCTTGATTCTGGAGGAGACACTGGGAATTCATGATGAGCGGGCAATCTAGAATGCTGAGGTGTTCTATGTTGGAATCAGAGAATGAAAAGCACAAAGACAGACCAAATCTGCTCCATTTTTTTTCCCCTAACCTATGACTTTCCCACACACACACACACACACACACACACACACACACACACACACACACATCAACCTTTTCACCTTATCTTAACCTCTATCTTGGCCAATGTTTTCTGTCCCTTACATATAGTGAGCCTTTTTCTCTTAGTCCCCATAATTAAAACATTCTCCTGCTCTCTTCAAACTATTTGCATCTTTTTTCTTTCTTTATGTTACCTCTCAGGTCTTTCTTCTTCAGAGAAGACTTTCCAGGTCAATTAAACCCCAAATTCTAACCTATGGTTGTTGTTTTTGTGCATGAAATTATATAGTGTCTTGTAGTTCTACCTAATTTTCTTATATGTAGGTATTGTTTACCTCCCAGGCAGTAAGCTCCTTAAAAGTAGAAATGTGAAATATAGAGAGAGAATTAACAGATATATATATCTTTCCCCCAGAGTGCTTTGTATACTAGACATTCAAAAATCAATATTTGCTTATTTCAATATATTTAACTGAACACTTATGTTGCATCAAACCCCATCCTAGCTAGTGGGATCCAAACATAAATTGGATATAGTCACTGACCTCAAGGAGCTCACAGTTTAGCCAGGAAGAGGGACAAGGAAAGAGTTGAATGCAACAGATTGCAATGCCTATATTAGAGACAAGTTCAGAATGCTATCAGAGCACAGAGGAA